CGAGTTGAAGAATGAAACGAGTCTGATTGCACACACGCTCATGGACTCTATCTACACACACACACACACACACACACACACACACACACACACACGGGGACAATACTTGTGCAGGGTGTCAGGGACACATAAACACATGCACGTTGCCCTCATCATCACCCTATGACATGCATCCACGTACATCAACAACAACCAGAATCAAAGATAGGCTTAGATAGCATTGAAAGGTGCGCTGTGAACAACAAACACGAACAATAACACAGAAAGAAGCAGAACTGCAATCAGACTCGTCTTATTCACACTTTTCATGTATGTAAACAGCAACGCAGCAAACTGGCGATAAGTGCCCACTCGATACTCAGAGATATGGCTTCCAGATAATAGTTCACTTTCACTGGCTGTGGCGACTCAGCGCCCAATCAACTCACTGTTTACCCACACTGGATCACCCTGGATATCCCACACACATCACTCTCAACACTCGAACACACACACACACACACTTCCTACTAACTACAGCTATGGCAGCTATGGCTGCCTCTAACCTATCGCTCTACTAACTCCTCTCTGCCCACTGCGTCCTCCGGGCTCACTGCAGACCTCCTTGCACAAGTTGCTGTGGCAGCGCTTTCGCATGGCTCACGCAGGAATGAATGAAAGGCTGGGTGCTGCCTCTTGATTTATACTTCTGCAGGTCGTTGGTCTGGCCCATTTCCCTTGCCCAAAGTGCACACAGTCCCGTGCGGTACTTGCTGGACTGACTGGGAACTGGGACTGTTGACTCAGCAGGGTAGACTTCTACCACTTGCCCACTTGCCTCACCACTTGACCACTTGCCGCTGCTTAAACGCGGGCAACTTCGAAAGGCCACTACTGGGACCTTCCGGAAGGCCGTAGACTTGGCCTTTCGTGACTGTAGCAGCTACGACCTTGACCTTCCAAGAAAACTACAGCTACGATGTCTAGACCTACCTAAGACTCCTATCCGACAGGTCTACAGATCGAACCCATACAACCTAGGGACCCTACGACAACCTATCAGCTATTACAAATACACAGGTCGCGGGTTCAATCCTACGGGTCAACACAGGTACTGTACACAGGTAAGGTTGGGGTCTAGGGATCGAACCCTGGGATCTGCAGCAGCTACTGCTAACTGGTGAATACCGTTTCACTCCCGCCGTCCTAAATTCGAGGTCCTCCGAGAATAATTCAGTCCAAGGCAGGACCTTTACCTTTCTGTTCTCTCTCGTAGGCTCTAACTATATCGGGAGCTGTCTCTAGAAGTTCTGATCTCGTAAACCAGCGGTCGTCCTCCGGTTCCTGATATGCAAAGTGGACCTTGTATTGTTTCTGTGGACGACCTCTACCTCCTGTTCTAAACACATCCTCATCTACAATGCCCTCTATGTCATAGCTCCCATCCATATCCGGAGGGATCATGGATCTTCTAGAAGGGAACTGTTGGCTTGTAACACATGGCAACAGCTTTGAAGCATGGAACACAGGATATGTGTGGAGGTGTACTGGGATCTCTATAGTGTATGATGGTCCATCCTCTCCGCCCTTGACTTCTAGAACCGGCCACGGTCCTCTATATGCAGGCAGTAACTTCTGCGAGATGTTTTCTTCAGGCGCGAACTCTTTTGCCTTGACCCAGACTAAGTCGCCTGTCTGAAACTGCGACGGTCGGCGGTGTTTATTAGCTTGCTCTATCATTCTATGCTGGGCCTTTCTGAGATTCTCAACAACAGTTGCTAATTCTTTCTCGTGTTGTACCGCAAATTCCCTGGTACCGGGTGGTAGTCTGTGAATCTGATCCCGGTTCAGTCCTTCGAATGGTCTGCGCGGTCTAAAGGATTTGTGCAGCTCATTGGGAGTGCGGTAGGTGGATAGATGTACGCTGTTGTTGTAGGCACTAGCTACCTTGGGCAACATCTCATCCCAGTTGATCTGATCTGGTCTAATGTACATGTGCAGAACTTGCTGTAGGATCTTGTTCATCTGTTCTGTCTGGCCGTTGGTCTCTAGATGAAGGTCAGATGACATTAACAACTTGGATCCGTACACTCTCATGAGTTATGTGAGGAATGAGCCCTCAAGAAAGGGGCCTTGCCATGATGTACATGTTCTGGGCTAAGGCCCCAGCAAGCCTAGTGCCCTCCCTAAGTGAAGGCGGGCCAGCAAATCAACAAGAGCCCTCTTTGCAAACATTTCACGAAGTGGAGTCCATACAGTTGCAGCACGCCAGTTGGTTGGTGTGCACCGAGTATCGAATGCAGAAATCCCAGGGCCCCGAGTTGGTTAGGCCCTGGGCACATAAACGCGAGGCCGACAATGCACGCGGGATATAAAGGCCGAAAATGCCAATGGGAAACCGGCCCACTATTTGAATCTGGCCGCAGGCCTTGACGAAAGAGGCGCAACTGCATCCCCCGGGCCTCAACTGCATCGGGCCTGGGTTCAGGCACTGGGGCCCAGACGCAGGCTGAAGGGAGGCCGCCCACACGCAACACTGGCATATAGGCAAGCAGGGCGAATGGGCAAAGGGAATCTTGGCCAGTGCAGGCAATGCTGGCATGCTGCACGAACGCGAGCTGCTGTGCTGCGCTAAGGCTGAGGGAGCAGGCTAGCGCTAAAGCGGTAGAGCGCTGCCTGTGTGCGCAGGGCGCTGGCGGCCATAGCCGGGCTGCCTGAGGGCGCAGGGGAGCTGAGGGCGAAAATGGTTCTTCGGAGGTGAAGGGCGCTGTGTGGGATAACAAGGGAGAGTGTGGGTGAAGGAGGAGACGTACCTGGTGGAGGTGGGAGGTCGGCATTGGTGTTGACATCATCACTCGCTGGTCGTCAAGTTGTCTGGTTGCTTTCATTGTTGTAGTTGTAGGCTTAGGCTGTAGAGTAGATAGGGCGCCTAGCGCCATTCACAAGAGAGAGCTACATTGGATTATGCTGTTGGTGTTGCCCTGTTGGGCTTGGACATTGACTCACGATTCTTCTGTATAATTCTCAAATGGATGGTTACTCGGTTCCATTATGCTATCTGCTCTGGCTTTGACTACTTGGACTTCAGTGTGATTTTGCAATCTGGATTTTTGTGCTTAGTCCATAGTCATGTTCCTTGCAGTTCTTGCCAGTTCTGGCTGGTAAAGCGACTATCTCTATCGCTGACTATTGACAATGGGATTCCATTCTCGCTAACCCAAAAGTCAAAGAACTTCAGTATCACTAAGTCTGTACGAGCCTCTGAAGGCAAAGGAACAAAAACTGCGTATTTACTAAAGCGGTCAACTACGACCATGACTTGGCTGTTACCACGTCTGCTCTTGACTTGGGTGTCCATGAAGTCTATGGACACTGAGTCGCCCGGTTGATCCGGAATAGGCAAGGGTCTCAGAAGACCAAGGGGTGCGCGCGTAGTAGTCTTGTTACGCTGGCATACTTTACAACTGCGGACATACTATACGCAGTCATTCTTCATTCCTGGCCAGGTATACGCACGCATTAGATTGGCTAATGTCTTTTGCCAACCGAAATGTCCCTCTGTATCGTGACATTCCCCTAAGATTAAACTACAGACCTCTTCGCTGTTGGGAACGCACATGCGGTCAAACACATTGGTCTTCTCAAACAACAACCCATCTGTAGTGCGGTAATCTGGTTCAGTCTCTGGGGCCTCCCTAACTCTCTTTAGGAGGTCGCTATAAATAGGGTCCTGGGCATACGCTTGCTTCACTTTCTCTTGCAGGTCTCTCCCTATATCCAGATAGTGTACTACGACTCCAAAGTAGTCTGATCTCCAACTCAGAGCATCCGCAACTACGTTGTACTTGCCCTTCACTGGCTTGAGCTCAAAGTCGAATTGGTCTATCTCTGCGGCCCACCTAGTCAACTTAGGTGTCATCTTGGCCTGAGTCTTTAACCATCTAAGCGTTTCACGGTCCGAATACACTTTGAAGTGCCTCCCAAGCAGGTAGTGCTTCCAATGGTCTAAAGCCTACCTGGGAGCGTAGAGTTCTCTCTCGTACGTGGAGGTAGCGACCTTCTCACAGGGCATCYTCSCTGACATGAACTCTACGGGTCTATAGCCATTGCCGTCGTCTTGCTGTAACACGGCGCCTATCCCATACTGACTCGCGTCCGTGGTGACGACAAATGGCAAAGATGGATCTGCAACTTAGGACAGGATACTCTATTAACGCGCGCTTTAACTTCTTAAGCGCAGACATACAGTCTTTGTCCCATTGCCAGATTGCCTCTTTCTTTAGCAACCTGCGCAAGGGAGCGGCAACAGTGGAGAAGTTCATCACGAACTTCCTCTAGTAGTTAGCTAGGCCTAGGAACGACCTCAACTCTGTCAATGTGCGGGGCGTCGGCCAATCTCTAATCGCCGCTATCTTATTGTCCTCTGGCTTAATGCCATCTCCGTCTAATACGTAGCCCAAGTACCGGACTTGCGTCTTGGCCCACTCACACTTCTTTGCGATGATCTTGAAGTTAGCCTCTCGAAGCTTCTCCAAGACCTGCCTGAGATGACCCTGATGCTCCTGGAGGGTCTTACTACAAATCAAGATGTCATCTAAATAAACCACTACAAACTCGTCTAACCAGGGTCTGAATAGATCATTCATACAACGCTGGAATGTAGCTGGCGCGTTGGTTAGTCCAAAGGGCATCACTATGAGCTCGTACTGCCTGTATCTAGTCCGGAACGCGGTCTTATACTGATCATCAGGATGGACCTCTATCTGATGATATCCGGACTTCAGGTCTATCTTTGTGAAATACTTACAACCCTGCACCCGATCTAAAAGATCGTCTATCCTGGGCAGCGGCTCAACATTCTTCATTGTAATCGCATTCAAACCCCTATAGTCTATACACATTCTAAGCTCTCCTTCCTTCTTGGGGACAAACAATACAGGTGCTCCAAAAGGAGATGAACTGGGCCGGATCCAACCTTTCTCGAGCAGCTCGTCTAACTGCTTACGCAGCTCCTCTAACTCCCTAGGGGACATCCTGTAGATTGCTCCCTTAGGAGTTCTACTGCCAGGTTCTATCTTTATCCTGTACTAGATGGGTCGTGGCACTACTCCC